CTTCTGCCAGCAATGTTAAGTACCCATAAAGCTGGTTCACACCTAAATTCTGAAGCTTTTGATCTCAGGGGGTTTTTTTGGATTTTCTTTGGTTGTTGAGTTCCTAATGGTAATTGTGTGACAAAAAGCTTTTGGAATATGTTAGTGTTCTTCATTTGCATGCTTGATTACCAAGTGTTGGAGTGCTGTGTGAGCATGTGCAATTTCCATGCCTTTGCAGAGCATTCAGTAGAAGACAGATGCTGCAGGTGGAGCCCATGGTGATCTTCCTGATGCAGTTGCTTAGCAGCTGTGCTGTTTTCTGATAGGATCATGATCAATGGATTTTCTGTCTCAGTTGAACTGTTTCACTTTCCCACATCCTATGTGTGCCATTTTTATTATTCAGTCTTTACCTGGGTTATTCTAACCGGTGTTGTGCTGCAGCCTTCAAAGATGGTTCATATTTTAGAGGATGAGCAAAGAATGGTGTATTCCTGTATGCAAAGCTATTTAGGAGCTGAAGTTTTGTCCTCATGCATGCCACCCAGTAACCCTCAGGTCACAATGGGTATGACTCTGTTAGAATCTTAAGTACTTAATGACAACAATTTTTATATACTATATTTACATGAAGCTCAGGGAATTGTTTTTAATGTCATATATTCTTATTGAAGTTCAAGAGTAGTCTAAGAACAATGCTTTCACATGTAGCTGTCTATAATTTGGGACCTAAAGCTTGCAGACCGATTTGCCTTACTAAGGCAAAACTCCCACAGCCATGTCAAGGTTGTAGGCCCCTGTTTTATCTGGTTATAAATGCAGGCAATGATTTCTGCTAAACTTGCTGATTTCAGTAGACTCAAACCTGGTTAGTGGGATGACTGGTTGGATCACACAGCTCTTTTAAATCATTGAAGAGCTGAAACTTAGTTTAAAATCAATCTGCTCCCTAGCTAATTTTATTTTAAGGGAGGCGTCTTCAGTGTCCTTGAAAAGCACTGCATTATTGTGCCAAATAATAGGAAACACTGTTCCTTATCTTCGGCTGTTGAGTCATTTCTAATTTGGCTGGCTATAAAAACTTACTGTCAGAGTATTTTCATGTTTGCTGCCTCAGGTGAATCATGCCTCCAGTGCTGAGTATCACATACATCTCTGAAAACAGAAAGAAGCTAAAACCATTTTTGATTAGTTAAATATAATTTCATCTTCTTGTACAGCTCAAGCCTAACTGAAGTGGATCACCTTTGTGGTCAACTTAGAAAACAATGGGCTTTTGCTGAGAGCATTGACATAGGTGCATTTTGTAGTGGTGAGACGAGTTTGTTGTCAATGCTCTAAACCAGTTACCCATTGCAAGTCTGTTTGTATCAATCCAATCATTCACAAGCAGTGCTAAATGGGATTAGCCTTGTAAAAGAAGGTAAAATAACCATGTTCATTCCATGTTATAACATCAGAGAGGTTGAAAGAAAATAGTTGTCTGTTAGTTATGCTTGGCAATAATTGGATTTTAATTATTTTTTCCTCCTCAGCCAACTGAGCAAAGCTGAATGGGAGAAGAAAAAGTTTGATAAGGCAATTGGGTAAGTTTAAAGACCTTTTTAAATTTGCTATAAACACAGCAGGTAACAATGATGCTGTGTATTTGGGGGAGAAAAGGTGTTTCCTAGGTACTTTTTTAAGGAAACTTCAGTGAGCATATGTACATCTGCTTGACCATACCTTGGTTTTGATCAAAGATGACAGGAGAAACAGTTCAGGTTACATTCAGGAAAAAAAAATAATATTTTGTAGCAAGGAGAAACTTTCTCTGTGTGCTATATATGGTGTGGTAATTAATATCTGTTTAATTCTTTTTAGCACATGACATGATCAAGTTTCATCAAAGTCAGGTTCAGAACTGCATTTAGGAAAACATAACAGCGAAAAAATAGTACTGAGGGTTTTTTCTTCTTTTACAGTGGGTTTGGTATAACTGCATTATTCATGAGTATGGAACAGGATGTTCCTTCTGAATGTATCTAAAAATCTGTAATACAAGATTTTACTGCCCATATTTAATTTTTCTGTGAAACTTGCCATTAGGCATTAGGCCTCATGCTGAAGTTTACTTCTGGACTTCTGGTTTGCTTTTTTTCCTCCTGAAACGCAAAAGAAAGGTTAAAGGAAAAGAAAATATTTCAGTTTGCTTGATAGAGATAGTTGAAAAAATACCCAAGACAGTCTAGAGAAGACAGCTGTCTTTAGCTGAGAAAAAATCCAGTCACTGAATATCCAAACATATTTGCTTTTATCACCATGTGAGTCTTTACATGCTTTCTTGGGAAATAGTCACTGCTGGAAGCATCAAGTTCTTTATGCACCAACAATTAACTTCCAGTTTCTGAGTTTTGTTGTGTTTAAATATACTTCACCTGTAGATATCTCTTAGCAGGACAGAGTTTGCTTAATGAGTCTCATTTTCTTGTTTCTGTTTCCAGCATGCTCTGATTTAGGCTTTTGCCCATTTTCTGGACTTTGTCTCTAGTTGTCTTTTAGGAAGAAATTAGTGGTGACTTGACTGGATCTTTTTCACAGGCTTTTTAGCCATATGAATGTCTTTATAGGACAGGTTGTTGAAACCTGATGTTCCTAACTATGGGTAATGAGTTCCAGTGGGAACTTGGGCACTTAAAAATAACAAATGATGGGTCACCCTGCAGCCATAGCCACCATGTGGAGTCCTTGCTCTGTTTCAGAGGTGAATGCAGGAGCATGGGGACGTCTGTGCTTGTTCTCATTTTGTAGGAATTAATCAGTACTGTTCCACTGAAAAGGCTGGCACAGTGGTGAAACTCCTGGTTTTACAGTGACCATGTATTTCCCACAGGAAATGCTGTACAAAACATACAGGATAAATGCTTTTCTTGCTTTCCACCCCCCACACACCTTGGAAACTCACAAAGGAGAGAATTAACACATCCCAGCAGCACACAAAATCTGCAATGTCAGGGTCATCAGTGTTTCATAACATGTGCTGGAAGAAGGTGAACTCTCAACAAAGGTTGCTGCTTTTCCTTACAGCTACTCTTTTGCTATCGTGGGCATTAACATAACAGACCTTGCATACAACCTGCTGGTGAGTGGGGCTCTGAAGACCCATTTCTACAACGTTGCTCCTGAAGCACCAACGCTCACTCACTTTCAGCAGACCTTCTGTAAGTACTGGGTGAGAGCACGGGACAAGGGGTGGAAGTGCATAATTGGTACACTTCTTGTACTGCCCATAGATTAAAAAAAAGAAATAAACTCTGCTGACACAGCACAGAGACTGTAATGCTAGTCTTGCTCTCCTGGTTTTAGGATGCTTGCATTCATCTCTTAGCTGTCACAGAGGCCACTACCAAACCAAGGTGTAAAACAAACATGTATAAACAAAAAAATGCACTAAGTTCCTTAAGAAGTGTCCTTCCTATTTTTTAAATAATGAGAAGAAAGCAAATGTGATTTAAGTAGTGTCTGAATATTGCTTCCCCTTAAATGCAGCTGTCAGATGATACTTGCATCTACATTCTAGTGTTACTGCCCACTCTTCGGCAGAGTTGCAGCTCCACCACCAAAATAGTGCTTTGACAGCTCTTGCATTTAAGCATCCCTTCTACAGCAGAGGCCTGCTGTTCATCTTTGCTTAGTGGGAGTAACACTTCTAACATTTTTCAATGTGTAGTTAACTGATAATGAGCACCTGCATCATCTTTCCCTGTTTTTATACTCCCTGGTTTTGTTTCTGTTTGTGGACCCATATGTCAATAGGACTAGTGACTTTCTGTGTTTATTGTGAGTGATTCTGCCAGTGTGTGTAATATCCATCCAATTTTGGCATTGTCCAGAACAGGTTTAGTCTTGTTCCTGCCCAGTGTCATGAGGTGTCAGATCCCAGGGACCAGGATTCTCTGTGCAGATCGTAATTATTAATTCCAGGCTACTTTCTAATTTTGTATGTCATCTTTACATTCTGTATTTATCTCTTCTTCCTTCTTATTATTTTGTAGGCTACTTAATGCATGAATTCCACAAATTCTGGATTGATGAGGATCCACTGGACATAATGGAATTCAATCGCGTCAGAGAGAAATTTTACAAGCGCATCCTGAGACAGCTCCAGAACCCAGAGATGGCTCTGTGTCCTCATTTTGCTGCAACAGAAAGTTTAATCAATATGTAGTTGCTCAGTTGATTTTATTTGGAAGCACTGTCTCACTCTTGATTTAGATCACTGTTAGACCATCACTAGCATACTGAATGACCATGGCAATCGTGTGCATGTTTTTGGCGCAGTGTTCATCTATTTTTGTCACATGATCCCCTTCTGCTTCTCTTGTTGGGGATTTTTCATTTTAAATGGGTGCTCATATTGCCTCATTATGCAGTGTTACCTTCTGAATTGATGTCCAGATATCAGAGTTTTTCTATTTTTTTAGACTTTCCTCATAATTCAGCATTGACAATTGAATTGTATTTCTCTAGCGGTGTTTTTGTATATGTGGAATAAGTAGCTGGATCTTGTATTGTGAAAGCTTTTTAACTTCTTGGTATGTTTTAAGATAACTACTGGCATTTCAAGCAAAATACATGTTTGGACCTCATCTAGAAGATAATGTAATTTAATCTAATGCAGACAAACACATTAAAGTCCAATTTTCTCCATGCAACCATTATATGCTTAATGCAAAATTAATGAGGCTTATGAGATACAAGTTTCAGTGAGAAGAGTTTATGCAGAATTGCAATCAAATGCATGAATACCAAATGGTCTGGTGATGCTAACACAGTGAACTGTGAACACATTCACAGCTAACAGATATTGGCAGGGGCCAAAAATTATAACATCAGGCTGTTGTCACCAACACCACCATGCTAAAGTATGGTCTAGATTCCTGCACATTCCTTTGGATATACAGAGGTTAGTGTTTTGTGTCATGTTGGAAGGCAACATGATTTGGTCACGTGGTGCTTGGTGAATTCAGGGGAGGAACAAAAATATGTGTCTTTTCTTTGAACTACTGAAAATGTTGCTTTGGTTGTTAATTCAGTTCCTAAGAGCTGGGAGAAATAAATTATTAGAAAGTTTAGAACAAAACTGCTTATGTTTCCCAGACTACTTATAAAAAAATTTAAAATGGCAAACTGCCTTTTTTTTCTAAAACCATAAATGAATAGAAGTATTTGACACTAAGATTGTGTAGTATACTGAACAGCATCTACCATGGCATTTCATACCCATGGTATTTTTTACCTTCTAAGCAATCAATTTTAGTATTATATGTTTGTGTAAATCACTTGCATATGGAGATTAAATTGAGTAGTGTCCAACTACTTGTGAATTATATGAATAAATTATACATCATTCTAAACTGAAGCACTGTGGGTTTTATTGTTGAGATCTGCAGTAATACAGAGGAAAAATGTTTTAATTAATGGATCAGGTAAAATGGGTTGTAGCAGCTCTGTGGTATTCCCGAGGCTGAAGTGTAATTGCAGCTTTTTCAGATAAGGTGCTTTATATCATTTTAGTTACTGCTTGGGCCATCACTTTATTTAACAAAAATAAAAATAAAGCAATGGGAGTACTTCAACTTCCTAAGAAACCCCTTGGATTTAAGCCATCTCATTTCTTTGCTAAAATGTAAGCTGGGGGTCAGGACTTCTCTACACGGCTGGAAACTTGCACTCATGGAGTTAATCAGCAGAATTTTATGGATGTTGCAATAATTAGTCTTCTCCAATGGATTTGGAAGTACAGAAATATTAACATTTGGATATTTTGCATGAGAATACAAGGAATAAAAACTGTGCATGTTTAACTTAATACCATTGATTTTGGAAAGCGGTTATTTTTAGCCATTAGGTCTCAAGGACTTTTTGTGTGACTCTTGAAATAGGTTTCTAGTAATAGTTTTTATTGTTTCACATTTTAGGCTCTCTCTTTCTTTCCTTGTCCCACTCTGACTTAAATATCTTCTTCAATTTATTAGGTTACACAGGTTTATTTTTAATACTCTGCAATGGATTTCATGGAGTTGTGGGGGCGGGAGGGAAGGTTCCTGCTACCTTCTTACTGCTCTGATCCTCTCAGCTATGCCTTGTCTCAAGGTGTCAACTTCAAACAAAATCAGAAGATGTCATCTGGCTCTGTGTCAGATTGTATCACTATAATCTAACTGGTTTGGGTGATTACTTTTCCTATCTTGCAGGAAGATAGATTTAATGAAGCTAAGTGTGAAATCCCTTCTCCTGTGGAGCGCTTACATGCTGGTGCCATCAAACCTTATCATCCTGCCCGCTTGTGCTTCAGCTTTGTCCTGTGACATGCTTGTTCCCAAAATCTGTGTCAAACCTGGGGCAGAGAATATCCCTGGTGGGTGCCTAAAACTGGCTGGGCACTGCTGAGAGAGGATGCCTGCTGGACACTGTCTTCCTTCCTCCCCAGGAATGACCCCTTACCATGATGCAAACCTAAGTATTTTTTATTTTTTTTTAATTAGAATTTACGCTATCTAGCACAGATCCAAACTGACCTGCGAGCAACTGGGTGCTGCTTTCCCTAGGGAGGAGAAAACATAAGAAATGGGGGGAAAAAAGTAGTAAAAAGTTGTTTCAATAAAGAAGAATCAATATTTATAGTCACTGCAGGATACAGAATTTGGTTTAATTAAGTATAGAGAAGATTTAGGTTGGATGCTTCCAGAACCTTCCCTCAGCTTCATGGTTGTTGCATTTCACCAGTCATCTTTCTCTCAGACTCATGCCTGGCCATGTGCATCTCTGGCAGCAAGTGCTTCCTGCCCAGGCTGTAAAGTAAATGGTCACCTTCTTTCGTAACAGGTAATTTTTCTCAGGCAAATCATTTACATTGGCAATGCCATGCAGCAGGTGTAATTTTAAAAAGGCACAGCCCTGTTGTAAGTCTAAGCTGCTACTTTATTACATAACATTCAAGACAGTGTGCTGAAGCTATGCAGAATATGCCTTGCTTAGAATATGCATTGCTTTGGGTGGGCAGGTGAAAATATAACTGATGAATGTATAATATTAGGAGACTGAATGTGTTAAAATGCAGAAATATTTACCTTGATCTGTTTAAAGCCAGGGGGGAACAAAGGGCTGTGTAGTATTGGAGTTCTTTAATTCTGCATGCATCCTTTTATAATGCATATTATAAAATATAATGGTGCCTGTATTCCTTCCTGCTACAGATTCAGGCACTTCCCATAGCACAGCATTTTCTTATCCCAGCTAATGTGTATTTCAATTGTTACCAGGGCTCCTTCAGCAGCATAGGTGGACGCTGACTTGTCTCCAGTAACCTTGGTGCTCAGCCAGCATCTGTGGAGCTGGGGCTGTGAGGGCCAGCAGGATCTGTGCCTGGGGGATTGATTACAGCCAGGAGGAGGGGAGCAAGTGCTACTTTAGCTTCCTGACACTTTTTGGCTTGTAGCTTTTTTTTTCCTTTGAGGGAAGGAGAAATATTTTTGCTGCACTTGTAATTGGCTTTTTTGGAAGATAGTTTTTCAAATGCTGGTGCTGGTGGTATTTCTATGTACTATTCTTAAAAGTAAACAACGTCTACCTTATCTATGTGATTTGTCTTGGACAATTGTATCTCCTGACTGTTTCCTGGAGCAGCACTGAAGCTCGATTGAAAAATTTACTGTCATGTAGAGGGTAAAGGAGATTAATTTATTGTCTTTTTTAATGAAAGAGCAATCTTTAAAAGCACCTGTGCCCACTGTGTGCCCTGTGGGGCACAGACAGCTGGTGATGACTTAGCAGGCTGAAGCACTTTGCTGCAAGCAGGGCGTTTTCAGCATGTCCCCAGCTGAATTAAGTGCTGTTAGGGGAACAGGATGTATGTGAACAGAGTGCTGATGCTCAGGTTAATGAACACAGATCCTCCTCCGGCCCAAAGAATCACTGGTGGCATCATAATACATTGGCTTCCATTATGAGGGATCATCAGTTCTTTCCTAATCCTTCCCTTCATGGATTGTGGTCAGCTTTTAACGTGTCGTTTGCTGACCTGTCCCTTTTTGTTGGAATGTGACAAGGGATTTTTGACCCTTCCACTGGAGTGACCAGCATTGTCCCCTAGTGGGGTATTACAGATTGTAGTCATTCCTGCCTGAGTTCTAGAGGAAACCTCAACCTGCAGCTCCACCACTTGGCTGGGTCTGACTGAGGAAGGAATCAGTTACAGCCTGAAATAGTAACTGGAGTGCAATTCTATAACTGCTAAGTTCATGTCTTTGGCAAGTGCTGTTGGGGAAATACAGAAACTCTGTATACACACTGGGAAATATGAGAGCTCTGATTATACTTCCTTCTGTCCCCCAGCTGGCTCTTAACGAGCTTGACATCATCAACACATGACCATTTGAGCATCACAGGAAGACTCCTCTGGAACTGTGATTTTCACAGAATTGTTCTACTTTGAATTTTGTTAACTACCCTGATTTCCACCTTTCACTCCTCACTTGGAACCTGGTCCAATGGGAGCTCAAACTTTGCACTAATGAATCCTCTAGGCAGCACTGAGACAAATAGTAGGGTTCCAATCTGTACTTTTGCATCTGCAGCACGGTGCAGCTAAAAATCACATAAATTATTAAAATAGCTGTTTTGCAGAAAAAAATCCTGAAACAGATAAGGAAATGAATTATTCATTGTTTTCCTTAGTTTGCAGCAGTGCAGGTTTTCTGTAAGACTTGCCAAGATTAGACAGGACTCTTCCTACCAGATCCTATAGAAATATAGCAGGACAGGCTTTGTGCTTTCCCCTGTGAGCAGTGCACATAGAAATCAGGTCATTACTTATTCCAGTAAAAGAAACTGTTCTACTCTATATAGAACTATATTTAGAAAAGAGATTTAGCTCTAAAACCTCCAAGCAAGAACTGGGTACAGCAACTTAATTCCAAAGGAGCTATGAGGAAGGGCAGAGAGCTGGTTTCTGGGCCTGGGCTCCACTGTGCTGAAGGACTGTCAAAACTGTAAGTGGTGTATTCCCCAAAGAGCTTAGAGCTTGGAATGAAGGAGGGTAGCAGGATGGGGAAGCACAAGGCCAACACACGCCAGCACAGCTGGCAGCTCAGCAAAGCAGAGCAGCACAAGAGGAGCTGGAAAAGAGACATGAGGTCGCCTGCTGTAGGTTTACAGGCTGTATCACCCAATTGAAAGGGTTACCAAGGAAGACACGTGCAGGTGAGTGTGAAAAACCTAACCCATGGACAGCAGAGCATGGCACTGTGACACTGGAAATGAGGACAGACATAGGAGACCCCAGCTTGGGCACTGCATCGAGCTCTGGGGTGCTCAGCACAGGGAGGACACAGACCTGTTGGAGCGAGTTCATAGGAGGGACACCAGGATGATTGATTAAAGGGATGGAGCTCCTCTCCTATGAAGAAAGGCTGAGAGAATTGGGATTATTCAGCCTGGAAAAGTGTAGCCTTGGGGTGACCTAATTACAGCTGTTCAGTACCTGAAGGGCTCTACAGGACTGAGAGGCTATTGACAAGAGCATGTAGTGACAGGACAAGGGGGAATTGCTTCCAGCTAAAAGAGGGAAAGTTTAGATTAAATATTAGGAAGAAATTATTTACTGTGAGAATAGTGAGACACTGGCACAGGTTTCCCAGAGAAGTTGTGGATGCCTCATCCCTGGAGGTGTTCAACAACAGGACGGATGTGGCTCTGAGCAACCTGGTCTAACGAAAGGTGTCTCTGCCCATGAGAGGTGATTAGCACCAGGTGAGCTTTAGAGTCCCTTCCAATCCAGGCCATTCTATTATTCACACAGATAAGAAGAAAGTCTGTGATTCTCAGAAGAGGCTAGTCAAGAAGTATCAATAAGATGTAAACATAGCCTAGATGTAAAGCCCTGAGGGGAGGCTAAGGGCCAAAGCGGGGCTCTTGATCACAGTCCAGAGACCAGATAGGATTGTTCTCCAAAGTTAGAAAGTGTTTCTTGGCATATCAGCCTATGAAATTTACCTGCTTATCCCTGAGAATCTGCCTCTGGTTGATGTGCTGGATGGGAGAACACCAAAGGGGCAGGATACAGAAGACCCAAGGATGCAGTTTGCCACCTCTCTTAGATAGGGGAATTTGTAATGCTGACTTGGCTCTGGATGGTCTCACATGCTCCTTTAAGCTGTTATGATTAGCTATCATTTGCCTCTTCACTCTCTCTGTTTTTCACTCACATTGGCTGGTTGGTTTGAATTTAAGCCAACAGGCACACACTTCACCTCCAGTTCCCATGCCTCTGCCCCACTGGCCCTTCTCACACATTTGTCAGCAAGCCATTTTGCAGTGGGTGTGAGTGTCATTTCTCCATAGCTCTGTGGCCAAAAAAGAGCAGAAAAAGAACAGTGGGAGCAGAGGTCTGAGCAGGCTGCTCTGAAATGTCCTGACCTGAACCTCCTCGTCCTGCCATGGCCTGGCCCAGCTTGCAGGAGACCACTGTGACACCAGGGTCAGGAAACTGCTCCAAGCTTGGCTATCTCCAGGCCGCTGTCTCCAACTGCATTGTGCCTTTCTTGAGAGCTGTGGGAAAGGGACGTGAGCATGTGGCTGCATGGACAACCCAGGGCTTCTCTAGCTCAGCTGCTGACAGTGCATGGGGTTGTTCTGCCCCTCAAGCACCCTCAACCTCCCACCAGGCTCTCCCCTAGAAGAATCAGCTTCTTCCATCTTGCAGAACAGGGTTTTCAGGAGGTTTTTTTTTTTTGTCCATGCTTGAGACTGGCCTCAGTTAGTGTAAGTCATGCCTGTCTGCTGTGAAACTCAGCAAATTTACATGTGTTCCAAATCTGACTGGAAGAAATGAATCCAGCAACAGCAAAGAACAGGGGATCCTGAGCCCTGGCAAGAAGTTATAATCCCAGCACAGTACTCTCCTTCATTTGCTGGATAAAAAGACAAGTCTGAGGAAGATATGGACGTCAATTATCTAGCTGTAACCAAGCACCAGTAAAAAATAAAATGAACTCATTAACTCCAATGTAATATTAAGAATCAAACTTTCTTTATTTGTCTGGAGGTTTGAAGGAATATCTCCTCCCAAATACCGTGCATGCTGAGTACAGGAAAGCTCCTGTTTATATACTGTATTTTACATACATATTCACTGATAGTCCTAGAATAAACATATGTACATGATAGTCATTTCCCCAAAATCATTGACATATTTTCCCTCCCATTTACACATGTGTTCTTCTGTGCTGAGGGATCTCTTTGGTGGTCCCTGGTCACACAAAGTCACACCTGAATGATCTGTGAATGAGTAAAAGTTGGCAGAACTGGGGCTGATTGTTTTCAATTCTCTTTCTTACACAATGGGCGCTGTGCAGTTCCACAGGCCAGTGAGTTTTGAAGAACAAGCATTGTGTTAGCTCTCCAGGTGTAGACGATTTTTCATCTGGCAACACAGAGAGTGGGTCAGAAAGCCTTCCTTGATCACTGGTGTGAGTGTCCTTGTACTAATGGGTAGACTAAGCATTCATATCCTTACAGACTATTTAAAAAGCTTGCCAGTGACTTTCTCCTTGTGTGAAATACCAGTGCTTTTGGAGAGCTAAGCTAATTTCTAATTCCAGTAGAGATCCTAAAGATACAGAGAGATGGTGGGAACCTGCATTTTGGAGCTGTGTGAACTGCAAATCAGAGAGATACTAGCACTTCATTTTGCATGTATAGGTGCAAGTTAAGAATAGAGCAAGAAGTATTAAACATCATTGTCTAGAAACAGTACCTTTTGTGATCCTCTTCAATTTGTTATGGATGTCTATAATCTCTGCCTATGAGTCTTATACACAATAGTGATTTACTTCTATGTCACCATTCTATTCCATTATTTTTAGGCACAGCAATGACAGCTCCTAGACATTTGAGTGATGAGAATTAGAAACTCTCTTCCCTAAAGAGAGAGAAGTGCCTTTGGGGTAGATCACCATGGGAGGCAATGCTACCTATGTCATCTGTGATGCTACTGAAAATTTAATCAATATAACCCTAATGTCAAGTGCCTAAAATTCAGAGAGGGATATTAGCACAAGTGAAAACATTCATAAGACCATGTACCTATCTAGGAAAAATGTAATCCTGAAATACCCTTTGCAGCTGGGGACTGCAGAGTGATGAATTAATTACCTGCACTAGCAGTGGGACTTCTACATCAGTCTTGCACTGTGCCAGGATTTCATTTCAGGACACCTTAGCTCACTGCTGCTCTTGGGATTGAAGCAGTTGAAATATTTTTATTTTCTTCACATTAAATTGTCTGTAACAAATACTGCAATGTGGAGAGTATTGTGGTTTAGAGAAAGCCAATTTTTGTTAACAAGCCCACATAATATCAGTGTGTCCCAGCAGACTGCTGTTGTGTGACTGAGTCCCAGTAACCATGCTCCAACAAGGACAAGTCATGTTTCACCCATCTTAAGGAATTCAGTTTCACAAAATCCCTGTTACCTGGATAAATAACATCTACTTGTCACATTTGAAGAAAAGGAGGTGCAATGCAGAATAATGTAGGCTTCAAGACAACCCTCTGAGAATGAAATATCATGGTTTAAAGCTCATGAATGCAAATTTTGGGTATGATGTCATTGTTTTTTCTCAGCTGCTGTAGCAGCCACTTCTCTGACATTCCTGAAATTTGTGGTTTTCCTTTTATTTATATATATATATATATATATATATATATATATATATACACTGACCATGGAATACAGTGTCTCATCTTGCTTAAAGCTATCACATCATCATTATTATCACCCTGCAACACTTGAAATCTGACATTTAAGCAACATCTGTGCCAATTTTGGCTGAGATACAGTTAATTTTCTTCATAGTAGCTGCTACAGGGATGTGTTTTGGGTCTGTGATGGAAACAGTGTTGATAATACAGAGATACTTTTGTTATTGCTGAGAAGAGCTTACACCAAGGCAGCAGAGAGTAGGCTGGGGATGCACAAGAAGTTGGAAGGGGACAAAGTTGGAACCAACAAGATATTCCAGATCATATGGAATAATAATCACCATATAAAGCTAGGAGAAGAAGGAGGAAATGGGGATGCTTAGAGTAATGGTGTTTGACTTCCCAAATAACCATTAAATAAGATGTAACCCTTCCCTGGAGATGGCTTAACACCCACTTGTCCATGGGAAGTGATTAATTAATTCCTTATTTTGTTTAATTTGAATGAGAGACTTTTGCTTTTCATATTAAACTATCTTTATCTCAGCCCATCACTTCTCTTGCTTCCTTTCTGGTTCTCTCCTCCATCCCACTGCTGAGGGGAGTGAAGGAGTGGCTGGGGGAGCTGAGTTGCCATCTGGGGCTAAACCACACCACCACCTAAATGCAGAAAGTCAGACACCCCTGGCAGAGGGGAAAGTTTCCTCTGCTTAATGCCTGGCACTTCTTCTAGTTTCTAACTAGTTAACCATCATACCATTGACACCTTTGGGTTTTGCCTCCTTGCCTACTTTTTCACCTGCATTCTTACCTCCTCAAAACCAAAGTCTCACTCCCCCTTCAAAACTTTTCTTCTTGCAAGGCCCCCACAACTTAAGTCTTCACCACTGATGTCTGACTATACAGTGAATTTGAAATACTAAGAGAAAAAATAAAAACAAAACCACAAACGACCACTTCAAAGCCATAAGCACCAACATTTCTATGAACAACCTCACAATATGATGAGTGAAAGGCCATTGTGATGGTGAAAGATCTAAAGAGGAAGGTGTATGAAGAGCCATGGGGGTCACTTGATGTGTTCAGCCTGGAGGAGACAGGAGAGACCTCATTGCAGTCTGCATCTTCCTTGTGAGGGGAAGAGGAGAGGCAGGCACTGATCTCTCTGTGGTGACCAGAGACAGGACCCAAGGGAACAGTCTGAAGTTTTGTCAGGGGAGGTTTAGGTTGGGTATTGGGAAAATACTTCTTCTCCTGAGGGTGTTTGAGCACTGGAACAGGCTCCCCAGGTCATTGCACCAAGCCTGACAGAGTTTAAGAAGAACTTGTAAAACGCTCTGAGGTGCATGGTGTGATTCTTGGGGTCGTCCTGTGCAGGGGCAGAAGCTGGACTTTGGTGACCTTTGTGGATAGATCCCTTCCAACTCAGGTGATTCTATTATTAATTGCCTTCCAGTTGACCCCTCTGCATTATAACCAAGGACCGTTCTGGGGTAAAAACACGACATTTCTCTTCTTGCTCTAAAAAGCAACCAGAGGTTGTGGACAACCCCCTTCTCCTGTGCCAGGGTCCCTCCCAACCCCGGCAGCCGCGGAGGGTGAAGCGCCGCCGCTTCAGCACCCTGGACAGCGCCAGGGCCGGCACAGCTGCCGGGGCTGCTGACCGTGCACTGAGCCTCCGAGGCAGAAACAACACCCCTGTCCTCCAGCTCCCGGTAATTCCCGTGTTGCAGCTCTTGGCTGCCACTGGGTGCTGGAACAATAGCAGCGGGGATGCTTGGTAACCATCTCCAAGAAAGCCCTGTTAATCAAATTAGATAAATTATAGTTGAGTTTCTGACGGAATTCAGAGCTTGGCAGTTGTGTTGAGGCCATGCCCTTCAGGGCTTTGGATATGTACTGGGTGATTTTTCACTCAGTTTGCCTGTCTGAGTTCATGGAGTGGCTGGACAATGCCCTTGGCCATGTGGTTTAGTTTTACATATTGCTGCGAGGAGCAGGGTGTTGGACTCCGTGATCCTGATGAGTTGCCTTCCTACTTGAGATAATTTCTGGTTCTATTCTATCAAGAGTTTCCCGAATAGGAATTGGCTGTTGTGAATTCCCTCACCTTGGGGATAGTCTGCCAAGGACCCTGCACTTCAGACCTGAGAGATCCCAAGGAGACAGGAGTAGCCTGGGGGAAATAAAATCAGCGCAACATTTGTCTTCCCTGAGGCAAGCATTTTCCATGCTGTGAAATACTGCTCTGAGTCACCTAAACACTTCCTAAATTCCATCAAGGCAAGTGCAGATAGGCCCAATCACATGCTATGCTCCTTGTTTGTTCCTGTAAGAAAACTACAGCGACTTTCTATTAGCATTTTAAAATGTCCTCCTCTTTACTGAGCCAGGCTGGGAAGGCTGAGGTCTCCTAAACCCTGAAAGAAGATTTTGATATTTGCTTTCATAGAACTCCTCAAGAGGTAGTAGCTCTCTGCAAGGTAGAACAGATGTTATAAGGTATTTCTGATGGATTTTTGAGCCCATTCCCTGGAACCAGTGGCAGCATCTCTTGACATCTCTGAACACTGTAGCATAGTAATCAACTATACCACCCATTAGTCAGACTAAGAAAACTGCTCTGAAATCTCCGTTGCTAACATCCAAACCCGTTACTTCATGTACAAGGAAAAGAGCTCTCTGCTTTCTTCTTTGCAGTTATACTGTATATATTTGAAGGC